TAGCCAGTCTAATATTACTTTGACATTCATCAATGACCTCAGATTAGTGCCTTGGCCTCCAGTTCAACATCAAAAGTGTGCAGACAGTGCGTGATTCTCACTATTCCGGTCCCTTAAGCAAGTTAGATCTGCTGGTGCTGGGCACCCCTGCCTGCACCCTTGAGTACGAGGAAGACGAAGATGAAGGACTGTTACCTGGGCTCCGGGGATGGGTGTGAAGGGATTGGTGGGTCTCAGGACTGGCTGGTTAAACATCATTGGCTGGGAAGCCATCATGGGCACTCCTCCCATCTGCGGGGGGACCTGGACAGGGGACGAGACAGCATGCTTAACGACAAGCTCACGGAGAGCAAGCTGGGGTAAGCTCAAGCCGAGAACCGACACAAGAGCCAGACCTCTCTAAGCACCAAGCTCAAAGAGTCAGAGGATAGACTTCAGTTGTTACCCAGCAGTGTAAATTTAGGCTTAAGCCATGATTCTTCAACACAGAAGAGACTTTTCATTATCAAGGCAGGCCGGCAGGGAAACAGCCTTAAAAGGAGTACAGTTGGCTAGGAATCCCTTTGATCCAATAACTGCATCTTTTAGGCTAGCAAAGCAAAAACTCCAAAGACTCCAAAATCAATATTTTCCCAAACCCTCTTCCTCAGGATCGGCACCCAGCAGTCTGTTGCCTGCGCCGTGTATTCTGGCAGAGATAAAAGGTTCTCTTACCATTCCATACATAGGCACTTGTGGTGTCGTCATGGGGAACGCCAAGGGCGCAGGTGCCTGCTGGGAGGAAATAAAAGCAGGCGTCAACGTGACGTAATCAGGCGATGTTTTATCAACAGCCTCAGTGGCTTCCTGGACACTGGACTCTGGAGTTGCTGTCCTTCACTCACAGGCCAGCTATCAAAAGCAGAGCTTCACTGGCCCGCAACTCCTTCTCAGAGCGACGCTGGAGGAAAGAATGGTGTGTTGTGGGAAGAAAACCATTCGGCTGTTCAATTCGCTAAAAGAGACAAGGTTTGTCTCTCTCTGGCTTACCTTTTTTCCCCCAGTGTCTTCAGAGGAGATCTTTTAAAAATTAAGTATGAAGCGTTATTTAGGTGCTCCATCTCCACCAAAACATCACTTAAAAGTGACTGAACAAGTCGATTTGCCCCTTGCCACCCGTCACCAGTGAACAAGCGTGTTCAGTCAGCCACTGGCTGTACACGAGCTTCAGCCGTCAAACGCTGGCTGAGTGCAGACAAGGAAAAGTGAAACCCGAAGTCAACAGATTTCTTCCTAACAGAATTCAACGGGAATATCCAAATCAGTCCGCTACCGTTGTTGCGGAAGAGGGAAAATCTGGCGAAGAAAAGTACTTACGTAGCCTGCATAAAGCATCCCGTTCTGCAGGGGCAGAGGGAAGGGGCGTGGAGGAAAGAAAAGAGGAAGAAGGGAGAAAAGGTGAGAACCCTGCAGCAGGACGGGCGCAGGCACAGAGGAGCTCAACAAAGGGCAGAAGCAGGAGGCCAGTGAGGAAATTCTAACGAAGCAGCAGTGTTGTCGAGCGAGACAGTGACCCTTCATAAGACCCAAGCATGCTCACGCGCTACTGTGGTAGGTTTTGTCAAACACAACGGCTCTCTGCACTAAACGAGGCCTTTCACTGGCCCCCGGACATGACCGTTTGGGTTCCCCCCCCCCCCGACGACGACACCCCATTTGAACCCGACTCCTTTTCTCCGAGGGAAAGTCGGGCTTCACTAGGCATAAGACCCAAACGGATTTTAACAGGCTTCTCTCCATCGGGATGCAGGGATGAGAGCGCATCTGCCGAGATTTCAGAGTCAGCATCAGAGCATGGAGTGCACTCCCGTGCCCCTCAGTCAGGTGCCGATTGATCGATCACAATCAATCAATTGATTGATTGACAGGGGGATTGATCACCCCCCCCATCACCACCCCTACAGTGAACCGACAACCGCACGGCCCTGGTGCCCCGAGTCCTGCCCCGTGAACGGCTCACCATCTGCGGCACGGGCATGGGCGCAGGGGCCAGGGGCGCGGGGCTCCAGGCGGTGGTGGTGCTCATGGTCTTGGACTGCCAGTTGGTGCCGCCCGTCAGCTTCTTCTCCCCGGGCTGTGTCCAGTGCATGTCGGGCCTGCGGACAGAGAGGCGGGCAGAGCCGCGGTCGTAAGGCAGGGCCGAGCATGCGAAAGGCTGCACCGCGGGCGAAGGCGTTTTTTCCCGAAACCACCGTCCCCGAAACAACCGAGGGCGTCGTTCTGCACGCTGGTCAGGTTTAGCAGTTAAGGAGAGTTGTTACAAAATCTGAGGAAGTTAGATCTAGAAAGAAAAAACTCTGCAATACTGGCAGCCCTTTAGAACACATGCAGAATATAATCTGCCAGGTCCTACCCTGGAATAAATTATTAACAGAGCGTCAGCAACACAGTATTGGCCGAACTCTGTAAATAACTAACGCCAAAGTGATGAAAGAAGTTTCTTGTATTCAATAGCATGTTTTATCACCCAGTGTTAACATCGGGGGCTCCAGCAGGTCACTACAGCAACCCTGGGGACTCCCTGCGGGGTTTTGTAAAATATCTGGACCCTTCACAGACCTGACAATAGGTTAAACTTGAACCCTTTAGTGGGGCCCAGACCTTAAACATGCAAGACTGTGCCCTTTCACCGCTGTATCTGTTGAGTAGCTTAAAATCCCTAACCTCCGAGTAGAAAGGAAAAAGGCGCTGGTTCAGTTAAGGACTGGTTGAAGTACGGAGCCCAGCTGCAGTGGAAACCAGTAGGTGTGGGGGTCCCCAAGACCAGATTTGGGGACCCCTGCTCTGCAGACCCGTCGGATCAGCTGAAACTCTGGAGGCAAGCAGGGGGAGGAAGGCTGGACCAGCCCTCGAACTGCTGGGGGCAGTCACTACCCACAGCCCCGAACAGCAGAGCATGATAGAAGACAGGAGTCACTCAGCCCAGCTGGACCACCTCGCAGTTAAACTGAGGATCTTATCCAGGCGTTTCCCCGAATAAAGCCCAAAAAACCCCGGCTTTGATCACACGGCTGGGCAGCTTGTTCCGGACTCCCACAACGAGAACCCTAACTGCACCGCGAGAACCTGCTCAGAAACAAGCTTGGTTTGATCCGGATTCAACTTCATCTGAGAACAGGGGCTGGCGGATACTTACTTTTTTGCTGGTGTTCCTCCAAACTGAAGATCTGAAAAAGCAGAAAGAAAAAAAAAACAGAACGAGTGTAAGCTCTTCAGCATTGACTTGCCTTTTTATATTGTATAAAATACTAACAACCAGTTTGACACAGCTCATCACGTTTTCACTGGTGTAAAAATATCAGCACTCAAGCAAAATGTATTTAATACTAAGCTTTAATATTTTACAGTGCTCCCCATGGAAAAGTCACTGAATTAAAAATGGCAAACTTGTTTTAAGCCAGTTTATCCTCATGAGATTTTTTTATTTTTATTTAAGAGATGATGTCCAGATTTCACCCCAGTAGAGGGTCAAAACGCCACAGTGGAACGGCAGCGCCAGAGGTGTTCTGCCACACTTACTGCCCACGAGGTTGGCCAAGGAGGAGTCCAGGTCATTAGCCAGCAGCTTCCCTCCCAACACAGGCGGAGGCTGGCTCTGGGTGGCGGTGCCAGTGGGCTTCAGGAGGTCTCCTAGCGGATCGAACCCTGAGTCGGGACAGCACAGACGCACTGCGTTACTACTCCTTCCCAAGCAACCTGTTTCCCCCAGCAAGACACGCACTTTCAGAACTGTGACAGAACCAGCTCAGACAACTGTTTTATCTTCTATGAGACTCGTAACTAAAACAGCCCTCCCCCCACCATGAGCCACATGTGCTAAGAAACACTAAAAATTAACACACTGGTTTATGATGAATGCCAACCACTCTCAGGAGAGCAGCAGTGTCAAGGAGATGTAAACGTAATAAAATAGGCAATGTCACCCCCCCCAGTACATGAAAGGCAGTCATTCCCTAAAAGAAGTAGGCATGCACACAGTCTCGGATTGTTTCAAAGTAACCATACATCCAGAACCACAGCTTTTGGACAGCTGCTTAAATGTTATTGTTTCCAGCACGAAGATCTGCAAAACGGTTCCATCTGCAAAGCCCATCATTTATTAGACAGCCTCTTAAATGGCAGGCATTATTTACAGACCTCTACAATCATGCCAAAGGGTAATGTTTTTAATGCCAAGGAGAACTCCCAAGTGTTTGGCATTCCTTGCAAAATGCTCCCACCAAAAAAGAAAATGAATGATTTCCTACAAAATAGCTGGCTAACGCAGCATACCACACATTCCTGAGACCTCTGTACAAACCCTGCCGGGGCAAAGAAGGAGAAACCAGACCACTTTCTCATTGAAAGAATGAAAACAGGCCCACTCACCCATACAGACATGTCACCGCCAGACCCAGAAAGGATTTTTAAAAAGAAAAAAAAAAAGACAGAAAGGAGACATTAGAAAAATGAAGCCAGATTTTTTTTTTTCCTTCCACAGAACACATGAAAGTGTTCGGTAGAAAAACCACCAGCTACCACTGAAGAGAACCGCACACTGAGGAGAAGTCATTAGGTAACCACATCTGTGCCTCCTGCGACACAAAGGGCCACGACCGAGGATTTCAAACATGCAAGACTGTTAGATGAAAGACAGGACACAGAGCCAGCGCCGGAACATACTACACTGACGCACGCACAGGTTTAGTTCGGCGACTTTTCGGCGCACGAAGCAAAGCAGGACTCTTGAGGAGAGAATGGAAGCAGCAGGGAGAGCAAGCAAGCCACTGGGCCCCGGAATCACCAGAAAGCCAAGAGCGATTCCAGACAATGTACCGAATGAGCAGGGAGTTTTACCAGATGCAGGCTTCACATCGTTATTGGCAACTTTATTCCCAAACACAGCATCAAAATCTACACTCATTGTGGGCATGGGAACACTCTGCTGGATGGGGTGGGCATCCAGACCTGAGAACAGAGCAGGTACAATCTTAGGGGCTTCTACGGCACTTAAAACGTGATCATCAGAGGAGCATCAGAAAGGCTGCAACGCGAGAGGAGGCCTTTAAAGCCCGTCTGGCTCAATGCGTTCCCTGTAGTGCCCATAGCAAAGCACTGTTCGTCCCAGAACACCCCCTCCCCCTCGCCCCCAGGCATGAACTCCCTTTGGACCCCCCTGCGCCCCTGAAACTGGGAAGAAAACATCCCGAGTACCCCGTCAAACTTAAGCTGCATGTCTTTGGGAGGTGGGAGGAAACCGGAGCACCTGGTGAAAACCCACATGAACACGGGGAGAACATGCAAACTCCACAGACAGGCGCCCCCCCCCCAAAGTGGATTTGAACTCGGGACCCCGAAGCCGTGCGGCAGTAGTGCTAACCACTGTGCTGCTGTGCCGCTCACCTGAACAGTAGTGGTCTAGAAGCTTATAGCAGTTAATTTCATGTGTAACAGTACGCTACAAAATATACTAGAGCAGCAACTATACCTTGATACTCGCTTTGCAACAAAATGCCAGTACAGACAACACTCCTTTCACTGCTGCCTGCAGCACAGCTGGTATAAAGAGCTCCAGCTGGCTGGAGAAGACGCCCTACCTCCCCAGGCACTGTTGACCGAGGTGGAGATGGCTGGTGTGCTCTGCACAGTGGGGACGAAGGCCGGCTGGAGGTCAAACAGGTCACTGTTGAGGTTTGGCATGCTGTCGGAGAAAAAACACCGCATGTCACCGCGTCCCGACAAACATCGCCAGAGCCAAAGCACACCAAAGGGGAACGAGAGCTTGTCCGTACATCTTGTTTCGGTCGCAAGCCACACACTGAGCCGAAGAACTCGTTCGGCTTCCCCCTGGGACACAGCGTAGCTCTTTGGGTTTGAAAAGACACTTACTACCCCGAGAATCGATCGGGGGGTTTGCCGTCGAGGGGCTACGCTCACCGCACAGATCAGAGACGCAGAGGCATTTGAACGCTCTGCCGTTCCTCCCTGTTTCTGCCACAGATGCGCATGAGGCCTCGAGTCCGAGGTGACACCAGCGCTAACGGGGTCTTCCTGCGGCGACCCCGGTCTCGGCCCGGAAGAGAGCCGGCGGCGGGACGCACCTGTTAGTGGATGGGGCGGTGGCTGGTGTGGAGAACAGATCCACGGACGTGCTGGTGGCGTTGTTGGTGCTGCCCCCCGACTGGGTGCTGGGAGAGACGGTAGGGGTCTGCATGCCGATCTCCTTCAGACGCTGGTCCTGCACCAACAAAACGAACAAACAAAAAAAAGCCGCCTGTTAACTACGGATTCTGCCTCACGAGCAGCGTCTCCTACAGACCAGGACTGTTAGCCCTCTCCTACTGTCCAACGCCGGCTTGCACATAAAAGTTAGCCGGGCCTCTTCAGACCTGCGCCGTTCGATCACATGTCCAAGCTCCAGAGGCTCATCAAGCCAGGGCTCTTCCTGGTTTCCGAGGTCTTAAAGCACACAAGACCATGCGGCTCCCGCCTCCGGATGGGACCGTGGCCCACCTTGGGCAGTACCTCCCAGCAACGCTGGTCCCCACTTCCACATCCCGGAGGAGTGAAGCAGGTGGCTCAAGGTACAGCAGCAGCGTCTGACGCAAGAACTGGAACACCCCTGGTCATTACTTGTCATTCCACAGCTCCAGGCAGATAGACCAGTGCTTTCATTTTGACCTCGACTAGCCAAAAACCATTGCATTCAATAGGCCTTCAAACACCTAGTTCCAAAACGTTCCTGCTAACCACCAGGATGAATTCATGCAGCTTCTTCTATGTACTAGTCAGACAGCCAGCTATGGAATATTTATGTGCTAAAGGTGGCTTCTTATAAAAGCAGGCTTGAAAACAGCCAGTGAATGACCCTGAAGTTTCCAGCAAACAAAACTTTTTTTTTTTTTCCTGAAAGGCCCTTTTCTTAGCGGAGGCAGGTCAGTCAGCGGTTTCGAAGAGGAGCTGCAGGAACACCATTGGGGAGGTCGGAAACAAAGGGCAGCTTCTGCTCCCTTCCTCAGCAGGGCCGGCAGGAAACCCTGACCCGCCGAGGCCAAGAGGCTCTCCGATAGCCGAGCGCCAGCCCCCGCGGAGCAGGCCGCAGCGTCGGCTATGCCGGCGACGCGTTGTTCCCTTTCCACTCCAGCACTGGGCGGCTCCGGAACGGCGCGCGCGGCAGCCGTGGGCGGAGGGGAGCAGCGGGAGGGGAGCGGAGAGAACAGCCAAGTGCGCGCCACCCCCACGTCTTACCTCGCAGGCCTGACGTCAGGCGTGGTGCGCCGCCTTCACGATGGCGCGCCAGGTACAGAGCCAAGACACACGGGTCTCGGGCCTGCTGCTCGACAGGTTGAACCTGCAGCGCCAACGTTTAAGATCACAAGGCCTTAACGCGCAACGCCCCTTCTTGAAGGAAGGGCAAGGAACAATTAATTCAGTCTTTGGTACAGTGCTTTTCCCTGCAGCACTGATTTTTTTTAATTCAGGCGAGGGGATGAAACAAGCGCACTGAAACAGTTTCAAAACTGCGATCTACCATCATAACAGAGCGTCAGTTTGCGCTCCGCTGTGCTGAAAATTGGATGGCTACAAATGTATACAGAAATAAATGGCACCACGGCACATCAGCTGATGGCTAGAATCTGATCATTTTAAAAGCTTGAGTTCAAATTTTCTATTCAAAACACGAGGGGTAGCCATGAGCTTGAACTGCACGCTTGAGAGACAGGGTGAGCAAGACGGTCCGAGAGCACCTGCAGCAGTCTGGCTGGGGAAAGCTGAAATGACAGGAACCCTGGCCACCCTTGCTCTGGATCTGAAGGGATTGCATACGGAGATAAGGAGATGCGAAGGTGGAGGGTAGGGCCCATGTTCCGACATTATTCTGTGGCAAAAGGGCATTTTAAATTGGCATTCACTGGCAGAACCCGGAGTCATGCAACTGACGGATTCCCCCTTTTCCTCTCCCGCGTCCCGACTGACGGCCACTACCTTGAGAGACTGCAGCCGGGCCTGCTCCTCTTCCAGGGCCTGCTGCTTCTCCTTCTCGTCCATGCGGCTGAAGGACATGCCCGTGCTGGACAGGGAGGACACTGCGTTGGACAGGGTGTTTGCTCTGGTGGGAGGGGGGCGGAGAGGAAAAGGCATGAGCGTTCTCATCTCAGACACACGGCGACACACGGAAAACTGTCTCCTTATCTGTAACTGGCAATTAAACAATTTTTTCACCCACCCTTAAGTCAGCTGTGCGTCAAAGCAGGTGCTTTTTCGTGAGCTAATGCTGATCACTACCACCTCAAAGGGGAGCTGCAGTCCCAGTTTCTCAGACCGGTTGTTAAATGGCAGTAACAATAAACTGACCGCCGGAATTGTAAACTTTTATGAATTCCGAATTAAGCACAACATCGTGAACTTTTTGAAAGGACGGTTCGATCGCCATGTTGTCGCAGACCCCTGGTCTCACCACAGGCGAGAGCAAGAGCTTCCAAGAACCGCGACGCGATACAGCCCTTCCTGCTCACTAGTCACTGTAAAGACTACTGTAATGCACGAGCGAATAAGTGCAGCAGATTTCACTGCAGGGCTATTCCAACGTGATCTGCGTGCAGAGATAACAAGGAAGCAGTACTTGTCGGCAAAACCATCTTGGAGTCGAGGGCAATGTTTCTACTGGATTAGAAGAGCTGGATTGCCAAGCCTGCTTCTTCACAGTGTAACAGGGCCACTTCACCTCATTAGGGGTTTTGTTGCCGCGTTCTGGATCACAGAATATGGCGCTGTGTATATCTGGAAATTTAGTCTATTTTGTGATATGACTTGGAGGTTTAACACACTACTGTGGACATTTCGCTTTCACTGTGGTTTGAAATGCGATCATCAGTGCCGATTCTTTCCAAGACCGCAATATAAAAACAGCGCAGTCCCCTTCAAGCCGACGCTGCGCTGCGGCAGGGAGCCCCACCTGCTGGCGGCGGAGAATTCCTTGGTTTTCTTCCCCTCCAGAGAAGCCAGGTGCTGCTCCAGGGCTTCCAGCAGGCTGCTGGGGGCCTGCAAGGGGAGGGGGGAAGGAGGCGGGGGGGGGGGTGTGAGACGCGCCGTCTGAGGACCGACCCCGCTCGGCGCGCCCGGGCGGACCGAGCCGCGCGGCAGGGCCGGGTCCTCGCAAGCCGTCCAGACGGTTTACCAGCCGAAAGTCATGGTTACATGCCTTAGGGGTTAGGTTTAACAGCCTTTAGGAAAACGGGAAAAAGAAAAAGAAAAAACACACCAGGAAGTACAGGGGAGCTTGAGCCCAGCATGCACACGTAACCAAGTTCTCGATCCCATGCTGACATATATACAGGCCTGCGAAATGCACCCCCGCCCCTTCTCATTCCTCATTGTGAATGACCTTTCCCCTCCACCCAATTTTGCAAGAGTCTCTACATCCACAGGAATGCATATATGCCTACACAAAACTGTACAGTATAGATGTGCTGCTTTTAGTTTCCAATTTCTTTTACAAAGGGATTCTTTTGGGGTTTTTAGTCACCCTGCAGAATGTTCAACTAGATTTGGTAGGGGGGGGGAGGGATTCTGGCAATTGCTTTTGAGAAATTAGTCTGGTCTGCTGCTACATTCATCATCCTGTTTTTCCTTTGCCAGAAGTACAGGAAAACGAAACCAGGATTCATACGAAACCAGGTGGTTACAGACGGCGGTCCTGGAAGAACCAGGGATGTCCGTCAATGCTGTCCAGATCCCAATCAGGAATTCCACCTCTCATCATGCTTCACATCTCTATTTCAGGAATCTTACAGGGATTTGGGGACCCTCCCCCCCCCCCATTTTCTGGGTTCGCCCCAATGAGGCAGCAACTGACGGGCCGACTCCCAGCATCCGGCTGCGCTTGCGGGAAAGAAATTCGAAACCAAAGCACAGACCTACAGGAAGACAGATTTCTCAGATACTCTGTGCATCATACTAAGAGATCAATCACTCAGCCACGATGTCCTGTACTGAGAAATGCAAAGTATAGGGCAAACAAAAGGGGTAATAATGTTAAAAAATAAAACTGGAAGTAAAGGGAAAAGAAGAAAAAGATCAAGAAAATAACCGTTCGCTGCTCTCCCCACAGCTGTTTGAAGCTATTCATTTCTAGCTCTTTCATTTGTTCCCTTCTCTGAAATCCATACACGTCTTTCAGAAAACGGGACTAGAGCTCTGCAGCACAGCCTACATCCCACAAAACAGAGTTTGCACACTGCTGTAAGTACTGATAGTGGACCAGAAGGTGGCGCTCTTTCCTCTGGCCCAGAATTTCCAGACCAGTGCCCCCAGTGTGGTGACAGGGGACGCTGACCGAGACCCTGCCAACTCACTCATTTTATGGCTCCGTTCTTGAGAGTAGTTTATCCTGACTGGGGCCCTGATGGTATTCTAGCCTGGGTTTACACAACCTGGCCTCCTTAAGGTTCCCCCTTGATCCAAGTGGTCAAGTAATTTCTCACTCCTCCACCTGACCTGCTGTGCAGTGGGGCTGCTGATGCCACACACCACCCAGGGGAGGTGGACTGCAGTGGGGTACAGAGTGTATCCCCTGCCTTAAGTACAATGTTCTATAAATGTAAGAGATTGTTATCAACGCAAAGCAAACAGTGTGTCTGCATGCTTGTGAAGGCACACAAATTACATAATATTCCTGCCTTCTGTATATTAAAAACAAAATTTAGCCAACAAGCCTGCAAACTGCAAACTCAACACCCTGCTTAATACAGAATGCATGGCTTTGGTATACGCACATAAAAACAAGATCTTTAAAAACACCACTACAAAAAACAAGTAACACTCCAGGGTTAAAGCTTTAAAAGTTATCCAATTTGCAAAGCACAACAAAATGCTCCTACTGCCACCAACGGCCAACAATCCTTGTATATTTCCAGCAATACTGGTGCCCCCTTAACGCTAACAGCTGCACACAGATTCGGATCTGGAACGATAAAGCAGTAGGCTCCACGCTTGAAATCAAGAACAGCAGGAGAGGAAGGAGAAACGCCTTTGATATGAATCGGATTTCAACCTCTTAAAAGGCATTCGTAAAAATGGCGCAGTTCCCTGAATTAGCAGGAGCACTGTCCCTGGGCCAAGCAACAAAGGGCGAAAGCTTGTAGGGTGAGTAGGGAAGGGGAGCATGAACAATGAAGCCACATGGAGAAATTGAGATGAAATGCACACTGACCTGAGTAAGATCTGGTATGTCACCCTGATCAATTCCAACTTGCTGTGTCATAAAAACAAAAAAACAAAAAGAAAAAACAGAACAAAAACAAAAAAGGGGGAATAAGAAAAGAAAATATAACAAAAGGATCCATTACTACATGCAGTGATTTTAAAAAACAGAAAAGAGGGTTTGGCATGCTTTACATAGACGGACTGGATCTGAAATGGATTGCACACTTAAATGCCAAGGACTGGTGCAGTACTGTGGTCTGGCGTGGCAGTTATGGAGCACTCATGTAACCACCAAGATGGGAAACATTTAAAAAGACTTTCAACTGGGTTTGGTTTGGAAAACCATACAGAACACACATGGCAAAGACGCTGTGTTTCTACAGCAGCATTCTGCTTCCGGCCGAGATAGGAACACAGGCCTTTACCTACCGCAGTCAAATTAAGATGACAACCCCCCCTCCCACCCCCACCTCTGAAGACAAAGCAACATTCCTTAAATATCCTACAAAACGGTCTCCACTCTCCCAGCTCATTCCTCTTGCATAAACAATTAAAACACAATAAATGGAAAACTGAAGAGTAAAATAGGATGGAGGAAACTGACATTACAAATAACACCAGAAGAACCCTTTTCCTGTGTTTCTCTTTCCCCTTTAGGTACAATCTCTCCAACTAGGGGCTTATTTGTAATGACACCAAGGCAGAGCCAGCGGTTCACCCGTTTTATACAGGAGACCTGAATGAAATGGTCCAGATTGGGTCTGGAAACGGGAAATATTCCCGCCTGCTTGAGTCAGATTGTTCTGGCAAAGCCCCCAGCTGAGCCCTACAGACCGGCAGCTTCTACAGGACCAGACAGAGAGACTGTAAAGCTTCCTGCGATGTTACAGTTGAGAAAGGGCATGAAGGCAAGCAGAGCACTGTCTTTCCGTGTGGAGAATAAGTCACAGGGAAATGCAAAGGAAAAAAAACATCTAAAACGCACTCGTCTGCTTGCGAATACACCTAAAGGCAAAGCACCAGCTGTAGACTAGAGTCTGTCGCTACGATGTCTGTCGGGAAGCTACGAGATCAGTAAGTTCCCCCACCTCCCCCCCCACCTCCTAAACAGCCAGCTCGCCTCCGAGTGCAAGACCGGGCTCGTTAATCACTAATCCATGCAGTGCAGGGCTCCAGGCAGGTTGCAAGACACGGGACCTGCGTGATCACCTCACTATCAACCAGGTCACGTCAGCATTCACCACTAAATCTCCTTCACATCAAAGCATTCCAGCACCTCGCGTGACACACTGGGATCTGTAAATATTTAGCTTAACCAGTAAATATGAAGTTTTAGGGATGCTTCTTTGGCATCTAATACATCAAATTAGGTTTTTTTTTCAAATTCAAAATATGGACATTTGAAGCCAAGAAGGACCCAGAAGGATTGGTGCAAAACTCAAACGGAAGCATGTTCAAAGACGGATTTTTCTTTTTTCCCCCCCTGCCAGTCACATACCTCCGTGCTGGGATGGTCTAAATCAAGTTTGTGAATCCTGAATATTGGAAGGGAGCGACGTCTACCCGAGAGGGGTCTGTGAAATCGCAGGTCACAATTTCTATACTGCATGTGTGCAGGAGGTAGACATGCACCTTTGACTTGATACAAGTCCATCACTCCTTTCACTCCCGTGTAAAAGAGATGCTCAACAGGAATCGAGCAATGCTCTTCAGTGACATTAATGACTTGCATCCATCCATTACCAGAAAGCCGCGCCCTCTGGCGAGAGCTGTGGCAACCCAGACTCTATCCTGGACTGTAGGGCACAAGGTGGGACGCTGGGACGATTTACAGACCCCTTCCCTTTGGGAGGTGGCGGAAACCAGAGCATCTGGAGATAAATTCTCATACCAACGCAATGAAGGACATGCATCCCCCAGAACAGGCAACCCAGGCTGAACTTGAACCTGGGACCCAAGAGCTAAAAAGCGGCAAAGCCAACAGCCAAGTCGCCAGGCTGCCAATGCTTATGATTAAGTGTCATTTTAGAGCAGGGATCTATGGACCTCATCTTAGAAGTCCTGAAGAGTAACCAGAGTAACCATTCAATCAACAGCTTCTGAAGATATGGGATAATTTCACTGATCCATTAAAACAGATCTCTTGTTATTCATCGATCACTCAGGACTAAAATCAAAGTTACTCTTCAGCTTCCAAAGACCACAGGTCTCTTAACTGAGCAGATTACTGGCGTCATTCATTCACACCAATCTAGAAATGGGAGACCTTAGAGACTAAATGGACTGGGGCTTTCCAGGAACGGGGGTGGGGGACCCCTTGATTTAGAGCAAAACGGAGCGCAATGAAAATGGCAGGGAGGCATTTAGGAGCATTATAAAATTTAGCTGAAAGGTTGAAACTATCCTACAGCCAGATCTGTTCTCCACTCATGTACCAGAGCTACTTCAGGTTTTCACATGTACTTAAAGGGGCCAGTGAAGAGCACAAGTCTGAAGAACGTCTGGGTACAGAAAGAGATTCAGGTTCTGCCTGTGGATTTATATTTCGAAGGGGTAGAGGGATTGGACAAGCTAATGGTTGGCAAACTAGTCAGGAGCAGAGATGTATATATATATACTCTGAGAGGCAAGGTGAATTCGGACTATAGACAAGCGACCAGACAGCGTTGGCGCCACAGGGTGCGCCCATCATGAGCACACGGAAGCTCATGGTGTGTCAAGGGAGAAGTGAGGCGCGCTAAGACAGTGCTGCACCAGCCCTGTACAGACAACGCTGCTTGGTTGTGTAAAATATCGAAGAAGCACTGTACCTCAGCCACTTTGAGAAACTCCGAGAGCTTGGTCATCCTGTAGAGAAATTTCTTATAAATGTCCAGGGCTTCTTTGCACTGGTTCTTCTTCATATCAAAATATTTCTCTTTAAAAAATAAGAACAGAACCATTAAAAAAAAAAGCGATCTGCTCTCAGCAGCCCGCACTGTATTACAGCACCCCAGCCCACAGGGGATACAGACATTGCCAGTCCTTTGAAGGCACATCATCTGGAAAGATTCAGATTCAGCACAATAAACTAAGCGAGACAGAACCCAGTCGCTGTGAAAGAGAAACCCAGAGAGCAAAACCAAAGGTCGCTTGGCTTGATAACTTCACATTTCCTGTTTACAGGGGTGAAGAGCACATACTGCAACTGTAAAGCTCACAGCTTCTTCTTAAGAACATTATTAACAGATCTCAAATAAAATATTGCTCACCTTCCCCACTAGGACCTCAGTTCTTAAATTAACAGCGAAAGCCAATTTAGGAAAATCATCTCAAGAGTACACCCTCCTGTTAACTGCCCCCCCCCCCTCGCTCGGGGGTTCTGCTCAGGGGCTCCAGGGTGTCTCAGCTGGAGAGGGCAGGGAGGAGGCTCTGGGCACACGCTAAGCTTTGCGGTGGCTTTGGTGGGGGCGCGCCTCTCCTCCAATCAGCGCTGAGCCACCCGTGCTTAACCACAGAGCCTGAAGTGTGCTGGCAGATGGCCCGCCCAGTGGGCGGGGCCGTGGGAGGGGCCTGATCACACTTCCTTGTGCCCCCCATGTGGGTGCAGGAATCATCATCATCATCATCATCGTGAGCCGGGAAGCAAAGACGCACCTCACGATTCCAAACCGTGCGAGCGTTTCATAAAATACAAAATAACGGGCAATTCTACTTTCACCACGGAAAAGCCGCGAGCCGTGAAGGGATTTAACAATCCGCACATGTTGCTTCACAGCATGTGAGCCACACACCCTCTGGAAGTCTTTTCGCAAGAAGGGTGAGGAAGTAGCATCAGCCCTCTAGTAACCTGCTGGCAAATGCATAAAGCCTCATCCTGCCTTAGTGCCCAGAGCGGCCCTTGGACGGCCCCCCAACCCATCCTAGCCCAGAGACACACACACCTGGCTAAAAGTCACACGGCTCAAACCTAATCAAGCCAGCCACAGACTTAATCAACAACAGGACCCCTCGAGGTGAAGGGTGAGCAGGAGAGCACCAATCCCAGACCCCCCCCCCCACACACAATCACACACAGACAGCTCAGGTGAGCCTCCTTACCCAGCAAGTTAATGACGCCCTCGTTGTAGGCAGCAAAGAGGCGGATGGAGTCCTTGAAAAGCAGCATGAAGGCGGCGTTGATCACTCCGTTGGTCAGCTCGTTGGGGTTGGCCTGCGACAGAGGGGAAAGGGGAAGTAGAAGCAGCGAGGTGACCGCCGATGCCGTCACGCGCAGGACGGCTCAAGGGCTTACAGGGAAAGAGGCCTTGTACTCCCTTCAGACAAGAACAAGGCGTGGCAATGACCCTTCAGCCCACTCAGAACCCCAGCTCCGGCGGCCCGGGCAGGAACACCCGGAAGGGGACGAAAAGCCCTCAGGCGCTGCAAAAGAGGGAGACCGGCAACACCCCCTCTCTGTCCTGCCGGGACCGATTCACACCTCGGCGGAAAAAGACGCTCACCTCGAAGTCCAGCAGAGCGTCCAGCTGGTTCTGTATGATGGGCAGGGTCTTGATCAGTTTCTCCGTGTTCATGGTGCGCATCACCCCATCGATCCTGCAGGAGGGAACACACCCCCACAGGGTCACGCCTCTCCTTTCAGCGAGTCTAGCAAACTCTGCATTCATACAGCGCCTCGCATGCACACAGAGCAGGACAGTCCACAGCCTGGTCTCGAGGACAGACCAAGGCCCCAGCATCAGCTGAGCACCGATTACCAAGGAGGAGAGTATAGAGAACGCAGTCCCCTTGGACCCAGGGTACAAGGCCATTCTAACTAATCACAAACATTAAATCGCAAACTGAATTCAGCGATGAACTGGGAGCCACAGAAGGGACTCTGGGAAGGCAGTCACATTGGCTGTGCAACTTCGATTCACTTAGAACAGAAACTCAATCTGAAGGCGTGTTAATTTGTGGATGATCTGTGTAAATGAAGCTGCAATCGGCCTGAACAGCAGGAAATGTACACTCCCCACCCCCACCACACACTTTTTTTTTTTTACACTGTTTTTCAGCCATCTCAATTTTTATTCTTGATTGTGATGTCCTTTTGCTGGCAGAACCGAGAGCACTTCAACCTGCTTCTTAAACTATTTTACTTCTCCTTACAGGGAATGAACATAGCATGCAGAACGAAGGGCAGGAATATATCAGCCCTAGATCCCCTAGAATGGCTTGTATCCAGAGTACAATGCCTGCCTGCTTTAGCTTGGAGGGAAGGTTAAATCCAGTGCTCTCTGAATTCAATCCTCAAGGGCAACAGCCTGGCAGGCTTTCTAGGACTCTTTCAGTCATCGACAGCATAAGACCTAGGGGAAAATCTGAAATTAACTCGTATATAAGGCTCAATCCTCCTGCAGGTCTGGGGCAGCTCATGATTTAAGGATGCCAACAAAAAAAAAAACCTGCCGGACCACTGCCCTCGTCCCTTCCAAGCTCTCCTGCCCCCTCCTGCTCCTCTCCTTCCCCTCTCTTCATCTTAGTGAAGTCCACAGCCACCAGCCGGTAGGAGAGGGCCTTCTCGTTCAGGTACCTGCTGTAGCGCCTGATGAAAGTCGACATGTCGTAACCTGTTGCAGGGGAAGCCGGAAAGAAAACCTTCAGACCGGCGTCGAGCTTAAAAAAATAAATAAACGGGACTAACACGTTATTCTACCCTGAGTGCAGAAATCCCAGCGGTGTTTTTGTTTTTAACCTTTTTTGACTGCAAGCAATTGTTCTCAATAAGCCCCAATTTAAAACATGACACTGAACTACAGTCGGCTATGGACATTTACGCTGCAAATTAGCCTGCCAGGCAGATGATCACACCCCTCTTCCCCAAATGCACTGAAGAACATGGCAGGGCTTCTGGCAACAGCCAGGTGACTCTGAGCAGCATGTGGCCTGAAACAGGCACCCTGCTCTCCTCATTCCTCCATCAGCTGATGTTGAGATGAGGGGGTAAAGGTGTGAGGTTATTATGCTGTACATCCCCCAACCCCTGCCAGCATTATTCACAGGCACACAGATCCGGGCGCTGGTGCTGCTCTGGGCAGGAGAGAGGGCAGGGAAAAGGCCTGCCCTGCAGGGGATTGAACTAGACATCGGCATTTTCTGCGCTGCATGGCTTCATTCCCGATGAGGGCTCAATGAGGGCTTTGGAAAAACGGAACGCCGTTTTGCATCCCGTGAGGAAACGACGGGGCGGCCCCGACGCAGCGCCTCGGCGCCCTCCTTTGTGGAAGGGAGGTAAATTTAGCCGCTGGACGTTAACTACTTCCTCCCCACATCAAACAAGAGCCTGCTGATGATATCGGGAAAGGACAGAAAGAACGTCTGAGCACTTTCAGCCCAGGGAGGAAAAAAATAAGTTTCACCCATTGTCTAATAAGAAAACGCAATGCTGTAACTGTGAAGTGTTATACAAGTCTTTCACGCCAGGTTAAGAGCCCCTTTTAGCTGCTGGTGTTGCAACAGGGGGAGTCTGCGTGTATTCAAGCAGGGGAAGGGTGTAGACTGCTCTCTGACGACGGCTGGGGAGAGGGAAAGGTACTGTCGCGCTCCGGGCCAACAAGGCTCAGCCTGTTCCCCGAGTGCCAGACTGGTGAGTCAGCTCGGAGGCGGAGCAGGAACGACGAGGATCCTGGCAGTGGCTGTGTAACCCTGGAGAGTCGCCGTTTCCCCCTCGTCGCTGTGCACCCCTCGGACCCCAGCGCACGGGTGCGTGCGTTCACCTGGCTACCCGTGTCCGAGAAAACAACCCAGATCAGGGCACGCGTTGCTCGGGGCCAGACAACCGAGCTGGGGGGGCGTTGAGGGCTCAGCCCCCCCCTCTTCCCAACTCCCCGACCCCTGAGCCACACCCTGGCTTCTCCCGAACTGCACGTCACCTCCCTACCTTGCAAGGCACCCTTGTCCAGGAAGTTGTTCAAATTAAACAGGGTGTTCCTGGAAGCCAAGTACTGGATAAACCGCTGGAGGGAGGGAGAGAGAGAGAGAGAGAAACAAGAGGAGACAAGAAAGGAATTGGAAGGCATTAATCAACCTGCATTTCCTGGACCCAGGGGCAAACTCATGATGGCCCGATTAATGAAAAAGGTACGCCGCACAGATGGGGCCCCAGTCAGCACGCACACACCCCCCCCCCACAATCCCTCCGACGGCACACACCGTCAGATGTGTCTGTTACGACTGCCAATTCAATCAGCCCCCTTGTCTCAGGCGCCCTCATTCCCAGAAAAAGGACATTCAGTGTTGGTTGGCCAGCGTTTGTGTACATGTGGGCATGGAGCTGTGTGCACTTCTAAATAAGGGGTCTGCTTCCTCTTTTTATCACTGGGGGGGTGAGGGCCACAGTCTCCAGCCCTAGATAAAATACATGTCAATGTAAGCACAAGGGCTCTGCCTCTCCGGTTTCAAGTACATATTATTCTACTAAAAATACACATACTCTCAGTCAGATGAGCAACTGAATCCTTTCTTCCTGCACTGAAAGAGAGACACCTCCCCTCTGGGGCAAAAAAAAAAGGGCAGAAAACATGCAGCAATTCAAATAATGAAGTGGATTACTGATATTAAGTCAAAAAATAGCCATGAATACATTTATATGAAAACAGAAGATAGCAAGGCACTTATCACTCGCTTTTGTCTGTCAAACTGATAGTGGTAAAACAGAAATGAATGCCTTTCAGAAATGTCCCCAAGCACTCATTGAGACCGGACTAATGGGCTCTCAGCTAACACACGCAGAGCATGAAAAAAAGACAGCGGCCAGCACAGCTCAGCGCCACGCGGACTGGGGGAATGCATGAGGAAAACAAAGGCCAACAGGGTGCACAGCTCTGCTACAGCGGTTTCCAAGGAAAATGGCCCTGGAGGGATACACAGTCATGGTGCGGTCAACAGGGTCGGCTAGGAGACCTCACAACAGAGGCCGTAAGCACACAACAGAAGCTCAAATGCGGAGATAAGTCAGCTCCCTATCCGACCTCGCCACCAGCGCAGCAATGCAAACACAGACTCTCCTTACAGCGCTCATCGGCCAACACCCTACACGCACGCGTCCGAAAGCTCTCCCGTTCCTGCTCGGATTCGACCTCCCGGTTTGCAGTTCGCACAGAAAGCTGCCGGAGTCTGGAGACTCCACAGAGCACCCCCTGCTGGTCACCTTCTGGAATAGCTGACGGGCTCTAAACCTCACGGTTAGATGTCAGATCACCAACGCATCTGCTTTGCAAGACCACAGGATGTGAAGCTTAATTTGAAATACAACCACCTCTTAAAATATGCTGCCATACGACCAACAATTTTTTTTTATTTTTTTGTACAGGAAACTGTCATGAAGGGTTATTAACACTAACCCCTCCCTCCCCCGGTTAGAAAAGACGACAGGCATGTTTGTTGGCTTGCCAGGCTGCGAGGCTGCAAGGCCGGAGGCAAGAGCAGAGCCGGGGATCTCCAGCACGGAGTGGTGACGCAGACAAGATCCTGCTTTTCCCCAAACCACTTCCCTCAGCCCCCCTAGGAGCTGCACGACACAGGTGCAGAATCCAGGGGGGACTGCAGCATTCCAGGGACAACCGCGTTTGACTGCGACCCCCCCTTCCCTCGTCCAAAAGGAGAGCGTGTGAGACGAGCAGCCGTTTCCTTTCCAGAGGACGGGACGGGACGGGACGGGACGGGACGGGACGGGACGGGACGGGACGGGACGGGACGGGACGGGACAGGCGCAGCTCATCCGGGCTCCGTCTGTCACGCAGCAAGCGACAGCTCAGCTCACGTTCCCCTTCTTATCTCTCGGCCCCCAGTCTGGGCGAGCCCCGACGGGACACTGCGCCCTCTCCTGCCTCTTCGTCTCCTCCCGCCGGCACCACAGGTCTCCCGCAATATCTCTGCGCCCCCATCCCAGACAGGCAGGCCTTCAGCTGTATCTCCGCGCCCCAGTCCCACACAGACAGGCCCTCCCAGCCAGCCTGATCGCTCCTAAACTCCGTCGAAAAGGTTCAAGACCTTCTGGCAGGGTTGACAGAGAGGAGGTCCGTTCCCCTCCGGCCCATCCTAACGCGCACGCATCCGAAGCCTCTCCCGTTTTGCCCGCGCTCAGACCCTCCTTCCCAGTTTTCCGATTCACACAGAAAGCCAGCTTCCGCTGCCCCTGATGCAGCAGTTCCTTCATGCAGCGTTCCTGCATGCCTCAGCAGAGACAGGGACCTGTCTGACTGCGGACCCCCGCTGACACCCTGGACTCTATTCTCCGGCACACTCCCCTGGTGCCCTCAGGAAAGCTGCGTCTAAGAAAACAGAAGCTCATCACAGAAGCCTCTGCTGGGCTGGGCTGGCATAGGGGAAGAAAATCTTTAGCACAACAGCTGTGGATGGAATCGCATTCGCAAAACCGGGGCACAACATTCGGTGCAACTCGAACAAAAGACGATGCAACAGAATGTCTGTGTTAACAGGACAAGCTCCCCAACTGGATACAGCCCCAGTACAGATATCTGCAGCGCACAGATAAGCAGGCAAGCACAAGGGAGTAGCAGAAATGCCACCAAGCTGGCTAACAGCAGGTACTGTAGAAGCATGGGTGAGGGGTGTCTGAGCAAACGGGAAAGTTCAGGGAAGTGTACTCCAAAATAATCTTACTAAGGGCAAAACCTGCTTCGACAGCACTTTCAGCCTCTTGGGGATCCTGCCTTGTGAAATGAGTGAATATGGCTTACAGAGCCACCCCGCAGTAATTGATGTTTTCAGCCTTCCTGCTCATTGTCTCACACCAAAGACCCCCCCCCACCGGGGGGGAAAAAAAAATAAAGACACACCCTTGTGACGGCACAGCGCGCAGTGTGGCTCGAGGTTTCAATGCGCTTTTACCCTTTTCAGCTTCTCAAGAAGAGCAGGGGTGCTCTTGAAGTGAAACAGCCTCCCAGACCTACCTCACAGGTAAACCAAAACAGTGATTATACAGTAAGCCAAGTGCTTGCAGAGCTTAAAGCAACTGGAAAACAACTCCTGTCGCCAGACGGCACGCAGGTTTTAGAAGACCTCAGGGTTACCCATCACCAAGAACCCCGCAACGCAACGGAGCTGGCTCCCCTTCGGCCCCATATTCCCGCCAAGTTGAGTTTTAAGGAGTGGGACAGAGAGGGAAACAGACGAGCGGAGCAGCTCCTGCGCCTCGGAGCCGGACACCCCCAGGCTGGAGCACCCCCTGAACCTGTGTGTGTGTGTGTGTGTGTGCTGGAGAGTTGGAGAGGCACACTCACCTCGTTCCCATACATCATGAGATGGTGGGTGGTGATGAGAGCCTTGAACACGACCACCCAGCTGCTGTTGGCCGTCCTCTCGAACAGCGTGTCCGCCAGCTGAGGGATGCTCACGTTCATCTCGTTGGTGCAGTGGATCAGATCTGGGGGGGTGGAAGACAAGAGACCGGAGGTAAGAGGAGCAGACAGCGGCTGCTGGGGCTCACGGGAACCAGCAGGACCTGGGAGAACCCCTCAGCTTTCTTGTGCCACACAGGCAACAAGCACCAAGTCTCCAGGAGCCCCTTTTCACAAATCCTCAAGACCGGCCTCATTTCTCCAGCTGATAGAGCTCCCCAACACCGCGGTCCAGCACAGAATTGCACACTTAGCCACGAGAGGGCTGCTCATCTATTACCACACGCAACACAGACAGCTTTGGAGACAGTTAAAGAACAGAAGCTTCAGTCTCAGGTCTCAGCCTTTGACCACTTGGAAGTAAAGTTCAGATATATACTAGGAATTACTTTAGCTACAAGTAAGAATACCATCAGAAGAAGTCAGTTTACTAAAGAATCCTCAGCACCGGAACTAAGGATCAATGCTGTGAAGGAGATTTACATAATAGAAAAGACCACCTTTTCTCTTAGGTCACAAGTGGAAAGGTTTTGCAAATGCTCGTAAGCCTGTATTGGGTTTGTGGCCCCACTGAGACCTGATTTTGCCCTGTGAAAGTGGATGAAGACAGGAGTCTGTCTGGACTGATGGCGGTTTGTTGTGTTTTCGTTGACTGCATTTCCATATGTAACCTCCCCTCTATGCTGGCATGTTTTAATTATCCAGCAAATAAATCTTCGTAAAATGAAAGACGAAAGAAGTCAATTATTTTACTTTGTATATGCTTTATTTATAAATCCTTTCATTGTTAAATAAAAAGTTTTAAAAAATAACTTCAGCCAATATGACTACCTGTGCATTTGCAGAAATTATAACAGAAGATTAAGAGTCTAGGAATAACATGAGCGAGGTTTTCTCTAGCCACTGTCTGTGGCTTCATGTACACATTTTTAAATAGCAGCAGCTCGTCGGTTCCCACGCTGCCAGTCACAAAGATTCCTCTCAGCCAATCAGAGAGGCAACCTGCTGGGAAAACAAATCTCTAAAGGTTACGGACCCATTAGCAGCAAAGTTGATTGAATTGAGCACTCTTATTCCTCAGATGGAAGTCTTCTGGAAGAAATGCTACAAATAAAATCATCACTGCATAATGAAAGCTTTTTAGCTTGGATTGGCTTATTATTTAGAATTATCACTGGCCCCCCTGTCAACTCTGAAAGAAGCACAGTGAGACAGCTCTTGCCAAGCCTGAAGCTCACTGCAGGCCGCTGAGTCCCAGACCTCGCCACAAGCGTCGCAGCTGACACACGGCCCTGCCGCTGGCCTGATTCAAACCAGCAACCTGAAGCCCCCCGTGTTGGGGGGAAAAAAAGAGCACAACAGAGAAAGCACTGCTGTGCTTTTAAAAACCGTTTTTAAAACATTTTCCCCGTTAAGAACTCCAGTTGAACCTTTGCTGCGTCCGAAGAGATCTGAATGCTAAACAACTAGGGCTGACCTATTCAATAAATATCACAAACAACCCCCCCGGCTTGCCTATGTACAATGATAAACATCCATCACACACAAAAACAGACAAGCAGCCTCTCTCCAGAGGGAAACCAAAATCCTTCTGGGATAGCTGGAGACCTCTCTCTTGCTTTGTGCACCAGGGATATTTACAGATTGTACAACAAACCCACAGCTTGCGTTTGCAGTGCAGAGAAAGGCTGTGCCTACTACAAGGCTGAGAGAAGCTGAAAATGTGGCCGAGTGGAAATGGATTTGATTCTGTGATTTACGACGGATGCTTTATCAAATCAAAGAAAATCAAAACATCCTCTGTGCATTTCTCTACTGCATTTATGTATGTGCCTCTCCCCCCCCCCCACCATCACCATTCCCCTAAAACTTTAAAGCTGACCGGGTCCACCGAGAAACCAACGCCTCACAGTGTGCATGGGCAGATTTGAAAGCAAAACGCAACATTTCGGCATCATCAATCATCAACCAGTCTGAGCCAGTCAGCTCAGAAAAGAGCTCATCTTTCACTCAACCCCAGATCTGCTCCTCTCCTCCGAGAGTATGAATAAAAGCGCGCAGACGTTCATCAATCGGAGCACAAAAGCTGGCAGCCCGATGCTTCGTCCCAGTCGCCCCGTCGGATAACCCCAAGCCCGCCCGTGGCCGATGTTTTGTTAACCTGCACCTGCTACAGAGCCCCCTGAAGGCGGAGTGCGACAGAATGAAGACCGAGAGCCTCCGTGACGGACGGACAAAGGAAACGCTCAGTCTGAACGCGGAGCGAACAGCGACAGCGTGATGTCATGGGATGCCGGTGTAAGATGGCTATTGTCAGAGGAGGGTCAGTCCAGCGGTGTGGTGGACACGCTGGGCACCGCCTGGTACTGGAGAAGCTGGGCCCGCTGTCTGCCACCGCCAACTGGCCGAGTCACTCCCCGCCACCGGCGCCACACAATCACGCCCTTGAGGGCCCAGTTTCGTCTAAGGGACTGGAGCAGTGGAGGTCTTTGTGCCTTTCGAGTGGGGAAGGAGGGTTACCATACTAAATGCACCTCTGAAAAGGGAGTGGGCAAAAAAAAAGGTTTGCACAAGATCACGGTCTTTTCTTGCTCTCGGTCAAGGGACCCTAGAGTCTGGAATCCCAAATATGCAAGCCTGCAAATCAATCCCTGAAAATTTAAGCCATACATTCGAAGGCATGCCCACAGAGCGTGCCTGCGTTCCATCAGAGACAAACGGAAGAGGATGTGAAACTGCATGGATCCACTTTGAAACCCTAGTACAGCGATTGCACGGCTTCGATAAGGCACACTGAGGAAAGGGACTCGTCCGTTTGCTGCTCATTTTAAGATGATTAATACCCCCACGGATCCTAGGAAGATACCCCGAGGCTGGCTGCTGGAAATAAATTTCAGAGACATTTTGGGACATTGCCTGTATTTTCTTGCTCAGTTTTAGTAGTATGCACAAGAAAAACAAACTATCATTCCGTGGACATTTTCCATATGGACTGATCTCGCTTCTCAAATCCCTTCGTTTAACATTGCTTGGCTTTCTTGTTTTATCCCAAAGGCTTTCGTGCTACTGTAAGCAGCTCCGCATTTCCCTCCATCTGAAAATATCATGTGGAAAATGGAAAAAAATCCACGTCACCTGGGCTAATGCACATCATATTGACTTGACTGCAAAATCCCTCACAGAAAAACCTCTATTACTGTCAAAGTGCTGCGAGAAAAACTCAGGCCTTCTGTCTGAACACAGCGCTGCATTCAGCGCATGTAGGTGTAGCTATTAATAGCACCGCTTTTTTTCCTTGAGTAAATAAAAAAAAAAACAATCTGCCCTTAAATCATTTAGTCCAATAGATAATTTAACACAATACAAAAATAGCACAGCACGAGCTTGTATCCTACTGACACGACTCCACAGATATAAAAGGACACCTGTCACACAACAACCAGCAACCTGAGTCCCACGCGCTGTCTGGAGGGGGACATGCTCTCTCCCCTGCAGAGCAGCTCATGTCGAGAGCCTGGGGGCTGCAGTTCATTTATAGAACTCTTGCAGAGAACTGAATTAATATATTCAAGCGGGCCCCACCTTCCCCAAGAGTCCACCTTCATTAACAAACTGCTGTCATTTCAAGAGGCTCTGGCCCCGGAGAGAGAGGCGTCTAGCACAAGGTCAACGACAGGAAACGCGCCGTCAGGGGACCAGGAAGGCGAAGCTGGCTGTGCTTCACCGATCTCTCATCGGAAACATGGAGGGAATGACGTTCAACACCTGTGACTCTGTACAGCCTGTTCTTCCATTAAAGCAAACCGCCAGAATCAAGTCCCCTGTTCGCTTTCCTGCGCCTTACGGCTTAAAATGACAGGACACCACTGCTGACAATATGATTAAGCTGCAAGAATTCACCGCTGTATTATTGGACAATAGCCATTCTACCCATGCAAGGAAGCACGGGAGAAAGCCCTCAGAAGCTGGTTAACAGATTAACACTGGCACCCATTAAATACCGAGTGTAAGAGATGGCGTCGCCAGTATTTGTGCTTCTCCCCCATCGGCTAATTTCTTCCAGTTTCGGTGCTGCATGACTGCCCGAAAGCACTTTCACTTTCTGCTGTGACGGCGGTTTCTCAACTCCACCGGGCGCGAGAGCACATGACCAACACCTGTAAAAAGCTCTGCGACACGTGGGTCTGATATCGCAGCTGTCTCTTCAACGACGGGGCCTGTGCAACACGGATCACCTGCCCTCCCTCCTGTTTCGGGCTTTCCTCTGCGAGCTCCAGAGGGGGCGCGCGAGCATGTTCAACAGGCCAGAAAGGGCCCAACCCCGCCGCGTGCCAGCGCAGAATGGGGCAGAAGAACCTCGGCAGGAAGCCCAACAGCCCACGCAGAGCTCCTGGAGGGCCGGGGCTTTCTGTGCCCGGCCCAGGCTGAAATAACAGCGCAGCCCGGTCCGGGGATTCCTACTGGCCGATGCGAAGGGGCCAGATGCAGCGACATCTCTGGACTTAATCACACCAATCGGATCCTATAGAGTGTCCCAACAGCCCACTAAATTTCTGGGAGGCTTGCAGGGATGCTGGCTGCTCGGTCCAGCGCGGTCATTCGTAGGGGACGGCCAGGCCTCAGGAACAAAGAGGTGTCGCACCACACACACCGGACACCTTTGCAGACCTGAGCTGTTCCCTAGAAATGACGAAGGATTTAAAACGCAAAGCGGAAGCCCTACTCCCCCTACAACCGTTCAAGCACAATCATGATGATCCGGGGGCCATTTCGCCCTCCGGCAGTGCACAGCACAGGTACCGGTCAGATCTGATGACCAGTAACCGCGATGAAACAATCCGACACACTGTATGGTTACGGAACGCGTTTGCTTGCACAGTTTTGTGGGCGTCTTGGCGATACCACTGAACACCAAGGGAGGAAAGGCGAAGAAGCCGAGGAGCTGGTGTTATTTGCGCAACAGTTCGGGGAACAGAAGACGCTTCGGAGAAGGAACAAGCGCCGGTCACCAGCTGTGCAAGGGACGCCACGAGATCAGGAGCCGACCGGGCCTTCAACACCCCCTCCACAGAGGAACTAAGGAAGTGAAAGACGCGAGACAGACCAAACCCCCGAGGACAGAGAGAGGCTGAAGAGAGGCTTCAACAACCTCGCTGACCGGTGCTACAGCTCCGCTCTTCCCGGGTTCCTGGGCCACCGGGCCTCACGCAGGGATACAGGCTGCCTGGCCACAGGCCGCGGTCAGATCGGCCGCAGGAGCACGGAGGGGGGGGAACGACGCAAACTGAGCTCCCGTCCGCGCTGGAACGATCCCCTGCAACCCGAAACCAAATCGCGTTTAAAAAGAACCTAAAGTCGGCTACAGACACTAACATTTCTGCCCGAGGCCAGACATGCCGAAGGCCAGGATGCAACAGGTCCATGGCCCGTCTGAGGAGATCCAGTTTATCGGTGGTGCTTTCTGTAGACCTCTCTAGAGGACTTCTTTGGCGTTCGCCTTGGATTCGAACCCGCTTCTCAAGAGGGGGGGCGTCTTGCACGATACCACTCCGCCACCGGTGGACCTCTCTAGAGGACGTCCAACTAGAATCTGGTCCAAACAGGACCAGAAAGTGCTATACGTGACAAACACTTGCACTCCCTGTTGAGACTGGGAGCAGGGCCTACAGCGGCGTGTACTGTCTCTTCACTCATCGCGCAGACAAACCCAGAATGACCACAGCCTCTAGTTATGCTCTCACTTCCGTACCTGCTCCTCCCCAGCAAAACACACACACAGCTGACACAACCCCTTTCAAATTTAACATCAAACACCACCACTTCCTTAAGCTCAAGTGACCCGATTAGAGTCGCAGTCCCAGCAGCACTTAGGAAACTAACGAAAGGAAGGCTACAAAAAAAAAAAAAGAAGAGACTTAAAACCTGGCAAACTTTACAGGGTCTAAAAACATTGTTGGATTTGCAAGAGAGGACAAGGGGACGGCTCGTACCAACCCCATAGAGGAGCCACAAAATCCAAAGATTAGGCTGCATTCAATAGCCAAGAGCAAAAGCTAATAATACGCACCAGTACTGCACTCTCATCAAAACAAGTTGCAGGAAGTGGTGTCACTGATGCTTGCGAAACCCATCCACGGTTATCTTCAGTGGCACTTTAAAATGAGCATGTCTGCTACATTCCAACTACTGTGCGACAGGCACAGGAATGAAAGGGGTTAACACAGTAATGTCAGAAGTGAGGCCTACACAGGGAACAGCTGACAGGATTACTATAAGTGCGTACATTTTGTACTCGGGTTTAAAACACCATATCCTCAGAAAGCACCCACGATTTCTAAGGCCAAACAATTTCTGCCTTCACTTCCTCTGCACTCAGACTTGCTTCCTCACTCTGTCCTGCTAGGGCGATGGGGCTCAGCCTGCAAAGTGTGGACACCTCGGTGTGGGGGGATCAAGGGGATCTCTCCACAGCTCTGCAGCCACTCCTGGTCTGTCTCACCTGGACACGCACACAGCCACCGCCAGGCAGGGCTGTGTCCAACACCCCTGCATCCTCGTGTCCCAGGCACACCTGAGGATCACGTTCCTCAAGCACTTGGGCAAGAAAAGAGGAAGAAATAAGGAGAAAAACTTCTATTTATAAATATAAATGAAGGAGTGCACTTATATGTAGCACACAGATAGAAGAATGCTGAGGATACTGAAGGAAGGAGCCTGTGCTCCTCAGATCCTGAACTCCTGCTACACACCTCCATTATCATTTAATTTCACAGGTGTGTGATTGTTTGCTTTAACGCCCTGATTGTCATGGCTACAGCTGCGGTGACCTCCTACACCTTTCAAACTCAAAATCCTGCCACTTCATCTGCATTTGACTCCGGTGTTTTGGATACCTGAAAGCACTGCTGAGCAGACACAATGGATAAATACAACTGGACGTGCTGCAGCAGAGTGGGGGAAACAGACCCATGGTGCAGGAAGCACATTTATCTTTGAAACTTTCTCTCTCTCCTTCTTCATCTGCACTTCGACATTTTTTTTTTAGTGACTCACTGATTGCCGCACAGCATGCAAGAGTGTAGCAAGGACAGTTGCTACACGGCCTCTTACTAAATAAGTGTAAAGCAGGTCAGTGCAACTTCCTTAGGAAACAAATGCAAGACCATAAAACAGGTTACAAAGGAGAGGAGGCCACCCATTAGGTTACTAGTTAATAAGTGAACCGTGGACCTCAGTCTGAACATTGAACAGCACGTACTAGTCCAGTGGTACTCAGTCCTGGTCCTAGAGGGAACTGTGTGCATCTGCAGGTTTGTGCTCCAACTGGACCACTTAATCAGAAGGGCTACACAGTACCCGCAACAGACCTGCTCGCTGGATAGTCCCTGGTTTCATAAACACTGCAGCAGAAGTGCATGATTCCCAACAATATCAGGGCACAATGCGATGCAGTCGCTCATTACACTTCCTAATAAAGAATTTGCTACCTTCTTTCTGCCTCAACAGTCCTTAATATGTGACCCAGCAACGATGAACAGACACAGGTAGGAATGACGCCGTCTCAGACACGCCCACTCGTAGTCAGATTTTCCTTCTGCTGGAGATAATTGATTCGATTTCGCCTCACGCACCTGAACGAGGGCCGTCCCGAAACTCGCTCATCAGCACAGGATTCGCACCAATGACAACTCTCATACAGCGGTTTCAGAGCCGAGGCCGAATTTGAACAAAACCCTCTAAGACCAAGAGGGACAGGAGGGACCCAGAACCAGGACTGTGAATCCCTGCACTGGGGTAGATAAAAGCCTAAGCAAACATGCAAATTGCTCCAATGATGAAGGACCCAGCTGGACCAAAATAATAATAATGTTTCTTTATTAGCCCTATACAATTCTTGCATTACGAATTATTTTCGCATACCCCAGCTTTTCTCCATGAGACACAGATACACAGACAGGGAGAGAAGCTTGGGGTCAGAGTGCATGGTCTGCCATTGTACGGCGCCCCTGGAGCAGTTAGGGTTAAGGGCCTTGCTCAGGGGCCCAACGGAGTAGGATTCCTCTGCCAACCCCAAGTCGCACAACCCCAAACCTCACCCTCTCAAGCTTAAACGCTAACTTCTCAGCTCGTCGCCTTAATCCAAACCTTATTAGGTTTAGGAATGTGCACTGGTTAGGAATAAACTCTGGCCCCAACCTCCCCAAAAAATAAAAATCACAAATCTTCTCCTGGGACTTATTTTTTATCTCATCAGCTTTTTGGTCGGGACGACCATCGTCGAGACCCACGGACATCAGAGCCAGGCCACGGCGCACAGCCCGGGCTTACCGAAGACCTCCGTGGAAACGCGCACAGCTGTCCGCAGCTGCTCCACATCTGCTCTCACGTCTTTTCCATTATATATAATTTAGATACACACGCAGTTCTCTCTAAAAACGGCGCCTGACACCCAAAACTGCTTCCTCTCGGGAGTCATCATGAGTGACCCCCTTATTTCACTGGATCACCCCCCGACCCCACCATCCCCACGTAATTCACGTGCCGCCTCAGACATTGCCTAAAAACACACAGATCTGACCAAAGCGGGGGGGGGAGGAGGCAGAAGGGTGGTGTGACATTAAATTTAAAAAATAAAACTAAAAAAAAACTATCCCCGGATCCGTTTCGACGTCGACTGAGATTTAACGAGGCGGCCGATGGGGGGGGGGGGTATTTACCCAGCCACGGAAAATAAAAAAAAAACCCAATAACAATCAAGCGTGTTTAAAATACAAAAGGTTGACGATGTAATATACTCACAGTCGAGGTGTTTCTTCTTGGGTCCGATGACTTCGTGTGTCGTGGACTTGCACACCGCCTTGCTGATAGCCGAGCCGGTCATGCTGTGCTGAGCGGCGGCGATCCGGTCCGTTATAGACTGCCCCGACATCTTATTGTCTTATTGGAAAACAAAAAACACGCAGGACCTGCGAGGCTCGGCGACAAACGTGTCTGGGGCGGTTGTGAGGAGGGGTGGAGAGGAAAATAACCGCTTCTCTTGTATCAAAAATAATTTTCCGTTTCTCACATATAGAAATCCTGACAGCTAACGCCGGCGGCACAAAATCCACGCGTGTCCGAGACCGGTACACAAGGCGCGCTTCGCGGCGTACTCGTGAGGTGGAGCGGTATCAAATCGGTGTTTTCTCTTAATTAATTAAATGAACGTGTTAAGGTTTGAATCCCAGTCCCGAGGGCTTGACAAATCCGGGGCCCGTTGAAATGCCAACAGGGCTGGGGGAAAAAAAAACAAACCCGACAGGTCTAAGATCACACACGCATCCATATCTATATCTCAATGGGGCTTGGGCTTTCAAGTTCCTTTTCCTTTTCCTTTCCCTTGCGTTCGCGTTCCCCCGACAGGCAAAGGGAAAACACACACATACACATACACACACAAAAAGAGACCTGTGGCGCTTTTCACGGGGCTGTGGGGGGGGGGAGAGAGAGGGTGAAATACCACACACTCACACGCACGGTTTACACCGTGAAACCCGCGTATCTCATTACGACCCCCCGGGGCTGCTTCCGAGACCCGGAAAATTTCAAACAGCGCCGGTTTTTGTTGTTGTTGTTGTTGTTTTTTTTACGGTGTCAGGAGGTGAGCTGAGAATCCGAGGGCCAGAAGAAATAACACCGCACGAATCAGAGGAGTCCCGTTTCCCGGCCTCGGCTGCTGACGGACTCGCCGGCGCGACAGGGCCCCTGAGCTTCACCCTGACAGACCGACCGACAAGACCGACCGACCCGCTCGCTTCAGCTCTTCTCGTCCGGGCTTTCTTCTCTCTCTTTTTTTTTTTTTTTTTCCCCGGTTGGTGCTGGTTGGTGTCGGCGTTTGCCTTTTTTTTTTTTTCCGGCGTACTTGGAGGTGGTATTTCACTCAAGAAAGAGAGAGAGAGAGAGAGAAAATGGCTGCGCACGAATCAGGTGATCGAGAGAGGGGCGGACTGGCTGAGTCAGGGAAGGGGTGTCTTTAAGGAGGAAGGGATCTCTCGCCCTGCCGCTTCTGAATAGCGCGTCTTTCCGAGGAAATTTGGGGGGAATAAACAACAAAAAATAACTCCGTGACAGCCCACGGCAATTACGCTAATGCTTTAACCGGCGGTTGCGTCAGTCGAGCCTGTTTTTAGCAGCTAAATCTCCTCGTCTTCGTGCCGAGAAGTTGCCCTCCGCCGGGTCTTAAGGCAGCGCCGTGAAACTGACTCGTGTCCTGGTGTGACCAGCCCCGTCTCCTTCTTCTCTGCTGGTGCAGGGAACATTGTGTGCTGGGAGGGGGAAATAAATAAATAAAATTGTGCTGCTTAACCGTTTTTTTTTTGTTGGTAACGAAAAAAAAAAATACGTCAGCCGCTTGCTATTCACACTTGCGATTAATTATTAATCAGCGATCAAGACAAGGAAGTCGTACTTGTAAAGAAACCTTTTTTTTTCCTGCTATCTGACGTATCAAGACACCAGTATTATTCAATTATTACAGGTTTTGTCTGAAAACACACACATTATATATCAGAAAACGCATATGTATATAAATGTAAGAAAAGGATTTCAAAATGTTGATATGTGAACTGAATGCTAGATATGGAATAGGAACGACTTCACTAAATCAAATAAATAATTTAAGTTAGATTTCTGTAGACAGATTCTACCTACGAATCAGACCACCAGCTCAGACTCCCTTTACTTTTCTTCCTTAATCTAGATCGGTTCCTGAGGGGTCTCTAGTTCAACACAAGCAGTCAATTACACAATTAAACTAATTTTCTAAATGAGAAATATATAGGATTTTTCTTAAGGTCTTTTACAGTTGACAGCACAAGACATTCAGTTCACTGGAGGTACTGTTACCACCTTGCAGCCTTGTTAGAAGTATTACAGTTGTGCAGTTAATAAAATAATTAACTGAGAACAAGGGGAGGGAGAGAAAAACTCAAAGACAGGCTCTCCAGGAACAGGGTGTGAGACCCCTGATATAGAACAGCAGTAGGGAGGCCTGGAGCCAGTGTAATGGGCTCTGGCAGGTTTTGGAAAGCCCTTTCAATTAGACCTTAATCCCTTAATTGGTTCAATTAAATCATTAAGGGCTGAGAATGAAAAACAGAAACAAACGCCACATTTTCACACCTAGGTTGACTACCCCTCCTACCCTCATCTACCAGGGGGAGTGGTATTGTATGTCTCACCTCTACAGACACACACACATGGTGGGTTTCTGATTTAATTTCTGATTTCTGTTGAATTCATTGTAGTTTGATTGGGGTCAGGTTGATTCCCAGACCAGAAGGAGTACAGCAGAGTAGTTGAGTCAGTTAACCCCATGTGCAAACCTTGGGCCCCATCTCTCCCACTGCCCTTTTAACCCACTGACGCCCTCCACAAGAACAGTGCACCCAGAGGACAGCTCATTCCCCAGTCCCCGAGCCACTCCGGGACTCAACGACACTTGCGCGCTCTCAGATTTAGAAAGAACGCTATGTGACGTTCTCTCTCAGTCGGTGTGAGCAGGGGAAAAATTACTGTACCTACCAGGGCTGCGGTGGAGTGAGCATTGTCCAGCTGCATAATTCATTTTTGTAGCTGGGAGAATACACAGCGTCTCATGACGGGAGAGGTGTCAGACAGCTTCAGAAAAGCCAGTGAGCTGCATTTTTCTTACAATGCAAAAGCTTTGCCTTTATGTCCAGGGAAAAGCACACTGGCTGACCTACAGTGGCCCTCCCTAACCTCATTTGCCACTAGCAAAGCCCCCATCAAAGAAGCATGCTGTTGCACGTTCCTAACCGTGTTCAGTCACATCGTCTTGCAGAGCTCATCACACATTACAGTGGGCTGCCTTGACCTTGAGCTCAGGGGCGAAGTGGCAACAGATACGTATAAGGACGTCAACATACCCAAGGCAATGAAACTCTTTATTGCCCTGTTTTTTTTTAAGAAATGCCATGATGTCCTATGTGACTTTTTATTTTTTATAGAATTGGGAAAACTGGAGGTGTGGGTGCAATTAAATGAAATCCCTTTCATCCATCCGTTCATTTGCTCAGCTGCAGATTTCTTCAGAGAACAAAAGGTCAACTTGAAGGCGCTCTATAACTGCCGTTTACAAGGAAAATAATGTGTCTTCTTCTGGAGATGGACTGGTGACATAATATTCCTTCAGCTTTTAATCCCCCTGGGATTCCAACCCACTGTTACAAACAAAGGCTTCTTTGAGCACAGAGAGATTCAGAAACTGATCTCGGAAACACCTGCTAGGTCCATGTGCTAGTGGAGGTGTCATGGGTAAAAAAAGTGTGTAGGTGTCAGCTGTAGACTGACATGAGTAAATCACTGCATTGGAAAGGTATCTGGAGCCCTAGGTTGTACATAAACCACACATAGCAAGGTACTGCATTATCAATGACACCCAGCATCAGCATTCTGCTTCAAAGCGAATCTCAGGAGTTTCCAGTCTTGTTAACCTCGGGTAGTTTAGTGACAGGAAACATCCCGAGGTTAAAAGTGGTAACTGTTACTACCTGCAGTAAGTCATTAGAAGATAAGGTCACAAATGACAGGAGGCTATTCAGCACATATGGCTCATAGGTTTGGTATTTACTAGTTAACTTATCCCAGGGTCTCATACAGCCGTTACTTGAAAGAAACCAGGCTATCTGCTTCTACAACATGGCAGGGCACCTTGTTCCACGCTCCCACAGCCCTTTGTGTAGAGAAGTGGCACCGGTTGCCAGTTTTAGATGCCCTTCCACATGCTTTCCAGGGGTGCCCTCTGGTTCAAGATTCACTGTTCAGCCTGCAGCGTTCCGCTGGCCTGACGTGCTCAGAGCCTACCAGGATTTTCAATACTCCTATGAGCTCCCCTCGTCCTTCTCCGTTCAAGACCAAATGGTCGGATCCCCGTTTTTGGCAGGCTAACGAAATCCCCAAACCTATTGTATCCATTCGAGGGGAAATCAATAATACTGATCGCACTTTGAGAAACAATATGTGATGCGCTATCCCACGTGTTAGTCGCATGTGTAGCGACAGCGAAGTGTTCGTAGTGCAGACGTGCAGAATACATCACAAAGGAAATAAGCTGCTCTTCATGCACTGAGAGGTCGTTTTAAATCGTGGAGAGCATCGTGCACAGGCAGGATGAGCCTGCTAAACATCTCAAGGAAGTGGTTGAATTGACAAACACTTTAAACAGATAAAGCTTTTTTTTTTTTTTGGGGGGGGGGGGGTTGTTTGGGGTTGAAACCATCTCCAAGCCTAAACGAAAGCAGCCCTGACACATAAGCTGCAATAATCCTACAGTACTGATCCAGACAATGGAAGGACGGAAAGGAAAAGCATCCGTCTATGAATCTGACTTCTGCAAAACGTTTTCAAAGTTTTTATACATGCGACTGTAATCTTTTCACAAGGGCTGATAACCTTGAAGCGTCCGTGAAAAAGAAAGTACTCATGATCAACGCGAGAAGTCAGGATCAATATCAATGTTAATGTTACAACACTTAAAATAATAATACACACTCGATTTTTTTTTACTTTTACTTCCAGTCCATTAATAAATTAGAAAATACATTGTACTTACAATGGTTACCCGCTCAGCTGTAATTGCACTGGTTCACTAATGAACAAGTAGTCAGGACCTCCACTGAATGCTGTCGTCCTTAGGACAACAGCACCTCGTACAGATCCGTGTCCCCTGTCTCCATGTAGGGGGTGGAACAGTGCCACTGTGGCTAAGAACCTGCGCCTGTGGCTGGAAGGTTGCCGGTTCATATCCTGCAGCCAGCAGGGGAATCCTACTCTGTTGGGCCCCTGAGCGAGGCCCTTAACCCCTGCTTCAGGGGTGCTGTATAAATGGCTGACCCTGCGCTCTGACCCCCAGCTTCTCTCCCTGTCTGTGTGTCTCACGGAGAGCAAGCTGGTTTCTGTGAGAAGACAAACTCCTAATGCAAGAAATTGTATAGGGCCAATAAACTGATCTTATCTTATACTGGGGCACTTATACTGGGGCAATTCGGGTCCACAGGGAAGAGGACCACCATCACCACATGAAGCAACGACCTGGTTTTCCTTAAGGCAACAGATTCCGACCCCTGCTCTGGGGAGCTCTTGTCTTCTGGTTTTTCCTTCAGCCACGTCTTCAATCACAGGTCTGAGGCGTGGGGCAGAACGGAGGCCCAGGGGTGAGCTTTGCCACCTCGCACCGCTGGGCCCAAGGTGCTGTCTGTGTGGAGTTGGTATGTTGTCCCCAGTTCATCTGGGTTTCCTCCCGCAGTCCTAATGCTGGTAG